CTGACCTGGCTCTGGCTGATAGGAGACTGGGCCCAACTGTGACAACTAATGGGGACTTGCCTGAATTCCACAACATAGTTAGCAGGACTGGTGCCACCTTCTCCATGGCCAGGTCAGCCTAGTGGGATTGTTAGCACCAGGATGAAAGGCCTGGGCTTATAGCCCTCCTATCATGGCTCAGTGGGTGCTTGGGCAAAGTCCCAGCCAGTGGGCTTCTGGGCTTACTGTCCCTTTGGCACCAAGTTCTCAGGATATATCCTGGCTAGGCCTGGGGCACAACCTTCCCTAGGGGGACAAGTCAAAGGGAGGTGACTGGGAGCTCCATACCTGAACACAGACTTGACATGCAACATGAGCTCTGGCCCAATGCCATCCCCTGGGATCATAGTCACCGTGTGCCGTCCACCATACTTAGCAGACGGAGGCTGGAAAAAGAGAGAGGGTGAAGACAGTCCTTTACTTCCTTTTCTCCCACCAGCACTGACCTCTTGGGCCAGCCAATCGTGAGGTGCCAGTATGGGGTACCTTAGCCCTGTGCCCCACTCCATCCCAGACAGGGCTGCTTATAGGGGTCCCTGGCCAGGAGGACAGCAGTAAAAGCAGTTCCTGTCCCCACTTGGACTTAGGTCAATCCCAAAGCAACTAAAATCTAATAGGCAAATGAAAAGAATACTCACAATTGTTTGTTGCTAGAGGAGAGATAAGAAGGAAAAAGAATCAGATCAGCCAAGGTTGGAGGAACAAGGCTGTGCCTTTTCCCTGGGGATGCTGTCTAGCACAGGTAAGGAGGTAAGGAGGAGGGCTGGGTGACCTCTGGAGACCACGCCTCAGAGGGAAGGGCAAGGAAGACCAGGGAGCAAAGAGGCATGACACACACGAGCACATGCTCACATCTACACATGCACACAGGCAGGTGCACATATGCCTGGACATAAATCTACATACGTGCAAGCACACACATACCATGCAAGTACACACACACACACACACACACACAAATACTTACTGAGAAGCTCCTCCAGGGGGCCTCGTGGCCACCTAGAACCTGGCAAAGAGAACCCAGATGCTAGTGGTTATTGTCCAAAACAGAAAGTCAATTTGGCAAAGAAGAGCAACTGTCCCTACTGTGTCCAGACAGGCCTTGCACATCACCCCTTTCACCTATGTACACTGTCTGGTGAACAACAGCACACAGCATGTACCTAGACAAATGGCTCCAGAGTCATTCCCAGGGACCAGCCTGCTGAAGCACAATGGAGGGTCATTACAATCCTTTATGCCTCCTTCAGCTGCAAGGTCAGTTTTTTTAAAAAATGGTTATGTCTCCCTCCCCCTCTTTAGTTGTTTTTGTTTCTTTTTTGGCCAATTATTCCTGTCCAGTGATGTCTGTAACATAGAAAAGTTGGCACGCTAAACACGGTACAATAAGGAAATCATTATAACAAACCAGAAGGCCACCACACAATCACTTTATCATTTTTGATCATTTTCCTTTATTACGAAAGCAGGACATGAAGAGAATCTAGAACATGGGAATATGAATATCAGAAGAAAAAGACAGCACCCAGGTTCCCCTCCAGAGATAAGCACTGCCTAGAATTGCCCTCCAGAATCAGAAATCCAAAGCAGACATGCAGAAAATAAATCCATTTTCAGAAGAATAACAGACACCAATCTTTTGGAAGGCTTTCATAAAGGATTTCAAAACTGCTTCACAGCCTACACGGATGACAAATATCCCCAACTCTGACTCGGAACAGCCATGTTTGGCCACATCGGCGCCACATTTGACAGCTTCAGAGCAAAAGCCACCAAGCCAAATAAGACAAGTATTGAAAAGTGACCAATGTGGAGTCCCCACATTGTCCTGGAGGAAGAAGTCCTCATCCAAGGTCCCACTGCAGGGGGGGCTATAGGCCTGCACACTTTCCTCCCTGCTGTACCCCACCTGGGAACACACCTGGGTGTCCCCCAATCCACAGAGGAAGGGGCGGAGCCAAGGTCCTCCTTGTCACTTGGGGATGCCCTGCCACTTGCCTGTGGAGCAGCAGCGGCAGTGGAGCATTCCAGCCAACAGCAGAGTTACCATGGCCATTTCTCAAAGAGCCATGCCCTCCTGCTAGAAATCTAGAAAGCTCAAGCAGAGGCTGACCATCCCCATCTGAGTCTCCTGGTCAGTATTCACAAGGTTCCCACTTGCAGGAGCTCTGGAAGCACAAGTGTGCCATTCACCCACCCAAGCCAGGAGCTAAGAGGGGGTTGATCACTAAGACAGCATGCTCTGGGGGTATCTGTTAATCCATGTGGCCCCTGGATCTGTAGCCACAGACACACTCAGGGCTTTTCTGTTTTCCTTTTAGCACTTGTCAGTATTTGGATTCATCTTGTTTACAGGCTCTCCATACAAACTTGTGGAAGGACACTTAGACTGCGCTTCCTCCAGAAAGCGTTCCCTAATGCCCTAAGGGTACTCCAGCCTCCCAAAGCCCTACCTCAATTCCTCCCCCTCCAACCACAATCTCCCTGGTTGTTGCTCCCTTGTTCCTTCCCCAACCCCCAAGACCCTGAAAGTGAAGGCCAAGGCTGTCCAGTTCCCTATTGTCACCCCAAGACCCAGTAGAATGCCTAGCCCAGAGCTAGGACACAGAAACATTTCCTGAATGAATGAGCACATCAGAAAATGAAGAGGAGATAGAGGACTTTGGAGGCTAGGGAAACCTCCGTCCAAATCCACATCCACTACACTTGGCAGCAAACAGTTTAACATTGCTCAGCTTCCCATCCTCACCTGAGAGCCCCAGAACACAGGTGCCTACTCTGCATGACTACTAAAGATTGAGCAAGAGGAGGTATGCGAGCAGTTCAGTCCCTAGCAGGACACACAGAACTATGCAAAAGCGTATCTGTCCCTTCACCCCAACAACCCCTCAAGCTAGTGTTCAAGACTGGTGTCCAATGGAAGATGCTGGGCTGACCCCTGCAGCTCCTGGCAGTAATTCCTCCTGGGCTTCAAACCTCTGAAGTCCACTGGACAGGTAACTTGGGCATGGTAGTGAGCCAGCCCTTGCACCAGGCCTGGCTCTGCTTCTGTGCAACTCCCCTCCCCAACCTTGGATCACATTACTACCACAAGGGTTGAACCTCTTCCTCACCAGGTCCCTATGCTAGATGTTCCTTCCAACTTTGGCCAAAGACCCAGAGAGCTCTCAAGATAGAGACTTCCCTGACCTTGCTCCGGACAGATGCAGGTACCTTCCTTCAAGGTTACAAAGGTTCTGCCTCACATCCAGGCCCAGTGAAGCTACCCATCAAAAGAGCTCAGTATGCGGCAGGATGGGATATATACATAGGCTTCCTGCTCATTCCTCAAGCGGGAGAGTGGACTGTCAGCCCTCATTCTTTGATGGTGCTATGGAAAGAAAGGAGTCCAGGGTGGTATGCGTTCCCACCAAAGGGCTCCCACACTGCACAGCTTAGCAAGGCTTCACTTCAGCATGTTTCTGTTGGATCAAGTGTCAATGGTGGCTACATGTTTTCCCACAAGGTTCCAATTAGTGGGAGCAAAAATCTGGGGTTCATTTCTAAAAGTTCCCATACCCAGGATAACCAGTCTCAGGGCAAGGCACTGTCCAGATTGTTCACAGGCCCCCATGCCCACTCAACACAGACACAAGCACACACACAAGGGAGGTCAGGGAAGAGACAAATGTCTTCACCAAGACCCTGTGGAAGCCTGGCTGCCAGAGTCATCGGGGACTCTGGAAACTCTGTCATCAGCAATGTGGAAGGAGTGAGCATTTTAAACAGAATTGCATAAAGCATATGCTGTTACAGAGCCATCTTCCCCAGGGGCCAGTGAGGAGATGTGTTGTGTGTTACAAGGAGTGTCAGCAAAGTTGCAGGGTTCTGGAAGGTCAGAGTTGGCTAGATCCTTTGAGATCCTTTGAGACAGAAGCGACCCGACACTGGAGCCCAAATAGAGGAGGGGCCTGGCCTAAGGCCACACAGTGGGTCAATGGGGTAGCCAGGCCTAAAGATCATATCTCTTGTCTTCCAGGCTTGAGAGGTCTCTGGGTCTTTAATTCTGTCTCCCAATGCTTCACCCAGGGACTAAATTATCCTCATTTAAGTGTGTAAAGAGAGAGGAATCGGATCCAAATAACCAAGATCCTAAACGGAGAACTGTTAGCAAGCCCTGGAGGCCTTCCACCAAACCAGCCTCAAAAACCCTAGTTCTCCTCTATTCCAAGTACCTGCGGTGGGGATAACTGGGGCTATAAGAATGTTCTGGGGACGGTTGGGGGTACTGGCAAAGTTCAATTCTCCATCTCCACTGGGACATGTGGCAAAACAGTACAGAAGAGAAACCCGAGGAACGTTGGCAGGGAACGGGATTCCCAAGGCGGCAACAACAAGGCAGGCCAAGATACGTGACCGCCTCGCGAAGGGTCCCACAAAGGCACTAAGGAGATGACATTTGGGCTGCCGAGGCCCACTCTCCCCACCTGTCTGGAGCACCCTCACCACAAGATGCAGATCCCTGGGGAAGCAGGACCAACGGCAACTTTAGCAGATCTCCTCACTGACAATGGAGGCGACCAATCAATTCCAGCGCACAGCCCTCTCCCCGCCCCCCACCGGGCCTGCAACCAATCGAACTCCAGAACGCTCTGGAAGCGGAGACTCCAGATCCAGCCCCACTGAGGGGCAAAGATACCCAGCGAGCGCTGCGGCTGTCCCTGCGGCCCGCTCCCCTTCTCACCTCCCAAGGCCGGCAGAGGAGAGCCGGTCTGAACATTGCCTTCGCAGGGCCGCTAACAGCCATCACCACCTTCAGCGCCATGACAGAAAGTGAGAACCACGGTACGTCCCTACGCGCAGACGCCGCTCTCGCGATACTTTGGAGAGGTACAAAATCCGCGGAGTGGGCGCGGCCTGGCAGTGTGCATGCGCGTGGCTTGCTGGTTCCCACGCCCTTTTCCGGCGCTGGGAGCGCAGCCGCCGCCGCCATATTGGGGGGAGCCAGCTGGGCCCCTGGTCCAGTAAGGGGACACGTCAGTGCCGCCAGGGACGTCACAGGCCCGCCCGGCATGCCGGCGTCTAATTGGTTGCCGCGTCCTCTTACGCGTCGCGCTTCCTTGTCTGCCCCTCGTGCTCAGTGGAGTTGCTCTCTTTTTACCTCGGCATAGAAGAGGCGATGGTGGCGCTGGCATCTCTCGGCGCCCTGGCGCTACTCCTACTGTCGGGCCTCTCCTGCTGCTCAGGTAGCGGCATGGCGGGAGCTCGTTTCTGGCGAGCTTCTCTCCCACGACTGGTGGTGCGTGGCGGGGAGGAGGGGTGCGGGCCAAGCGGGTTTCTGGGCCTTTTTCCTCCGAGAGGCAGGTGGCCTTGGGGCGCGACGACCAAGGCTACCACACGCTCCTGCACCACACACGTTTACCCAGCATCCAGGCTGCCGAAAGAAACAACCAAATCTTTCCCCCTTCTGCTCCTGCGAGGAAGAGTTCCAGAGGCTCTCCCGTGCACCCGGCCCCCATATCCAGCAGGGAAAGTGACACACGTCCCTGCTCCTTCTCCCAGAGCTTCTGGTCTAGGAGGAGGGTCGTACAGGAGCAAAGTTCTACAGCGCTGGGTGATGGGGCAAGAAACTGGGCTGGTGGAGAGGAGTCACCTGATCAGGGGCGGTGGGGCCAGGCCTCCCTGGGAAGAGAGGTCTTAAGTGAAGAGGGAGCAGGGACCGCCCAGGCAGAGTGGCCATGAACGTGGGCGAGTTAGATCGGAGCTGAAGAGGTTAAGGTAAGCGGAAGCCTTGAGTGTCAGAACGTACTGTTGACTTTTGAATTTTTACATGAGGCCCTGATGTTACCTTAAAGGGGTTTTCAGCAGAGCAGAGCCACAGTCGGATCAATTGACATTTTTAACACCTAGTGGCAGGGTTGAACTTAGACTGGAGTTCAGAAGTGTGCTGAGGAGGATGTCCTTGCAGGAGCCAGAGCTGTCGGGGGGCTGGAATGGGGAGGAGTCGCTTTCTGCCCATTCACTTTACCTGCCCTACTTCAGGCCAGCGCCCTTGGTGCCGGGAGTGTTTCACCTTCCTAACTGGCCTCCTGCTTGCACCCTTTTCACTTATCCCTCAGGAATCCCCCATGCTGTAGCCAGTGATGTCTGGAAATGACACACCTGGCTGTAAAACCCTTTGGTGCTCCACAGTGTCCATAGGAAAAAGGCCAAATTTAGCAGAGCACAGAAGGATCTTCAGGATGTGGCTCCTAAGAACTGCACCCACCAGTGTTCCCAGGCATCTTTCAGATGTCCAGACCCAAAATCTTCTATGATTGCCTCATCCTAAGGCATAGCTCTGCAGGGATACCACATTCAGAGAGCAGTTGGCTGAGAACTTTACTATTGGTAGCATTTACTTGGTGCCCTGTGACTTAGGTGGCACTTGTCTTTCTCTGTAGCCTCTAGCAGTGCAGAGATAGCTAAGGCAGCATTCTTTCTCTCAGGGCAGCCCTGTTCAAGGGGACAAGTTGTGCATCTGGATTCAGAACTTCTCCCATTTCCTTCTATCAGGAAACACTGGGCTAGTATTGGTCTTCTGTCAACTATGGTTGTGGGTAAAGACCCTTCCCTTCATCTCGAAAGCCCACATGCTTTGCCAGCAGCACCATGTTTGGTGTCTGTGGAAAACACCTTCGGTAAACTGTCCAGGGCTCTCCACGGCTCTGAATTGATGTCAGCTAAGCCTCCTGGGCTTCTGGGGTGCTACGGGCCAGGGCAGGCTGCTGTCCCAAACCATTGCATGGCATCCCTGTCTGTAATTCTAGATACAGATATGAATTGTGCAGTGAATCCATCCAGTGCCGCCTCCCTTCCCCCTACCGACTCATCTGCTCTTTTGCCCTTGCATTGAGGTTCCATCTGTAGAAAGCCTTCCCATTCCCCACCTCCCCCTTGCCACTGCACTTCTGATTGGTCATTTATATCTGTCTCCTACATCTCACCTAGCAGGGTCCGAAGGGCTCCATGTGTCCTCAGCTACTGAGGTGTGGGAATTGAGGTCAGGGTGGTCCCTCTGCCCCCCAGCCCAGCATGCACAAGCTAGACTTTACCCAGGCATCTCTCTGATTCTCCCCACAGCAGAGGCCTGCATGGAGCCCCAGATCACTCCTTCCTACTACACAACGTCTGATGCTGTCATTTCCACTGAGACTGTTTTCATCGTGGAGATTTCCCTGACATGCAAGAACAGAGTCCAGGTAAGGCAGTGGAAGTTCAGCCAGGAGAGTGCTGAGGTGAGAGGCAGGTAGTGAGCCTGGGGCCTTGGGCATCAGCTACTCAACTGGCAGTTGATGGGGTCAGACCCAGGGACCCACATGGATTTAGATTCACAGGTGTAGGAAAGAGCAGGGCCGAAGATCAGATTCTAGCAGTTGTTTAAAGAACGTTCACCTAAGCTGCCTAGCTGCAGTAATGTAGGTAGACATTTTACTGTGTCTTAAAATAATGTACGTGGAAGTGGGAAACAGCCAGGGTTAGTCCCAGGCTCCTGCATCCGTTTTCTGGTTGCTCTTCACCAAGGTATGTGTCCATGTGGTTTCAAGCCCTGACCTTAATCTGCATCCCAAAGGCCCAAAGTAGGAAGCTGGGCCTTTTGGGTACAATATTTCTTGGGCAACTCATTGGGCACCCCTTGGCCCCAGCACTCCCTTACAGGCTCATAAATAACAACACAGCCCTGGGCGGTTTGGCTCAGCAGTAGAGCGTCGGCCCATGGACCAATGAGTCGTGGGTTCGATTCTGGCCAAGGGCACATACCTCAGTTGTGGTTTGTCCTTGGCCATGGTAGGGTTGTGCAGGAGGCAGCCAGCCAATGTGTCAGTCTCATGCCGATGTTTCTCCCTTTCTCTCCCTCCCACTCTATCTGAAGATAAATAGAAAAATGTCCTCGGGTGAGGATTAAAAAAATAAGAACACATCAATCATCCCACCCTATTCACAGTTAACAGGCTTGCTGAGGGTTAGGGAGGCCAGGCCATAAGAAGAATGTGTCCCCCACCCCTTGCATTAAGGAACCAAAGAAATAGTGACACCATCCGTGGGTGTTGGCTTCCTGGCAAAGCTCTGGGTTGTGCCAGGCCTACCTCCATGATTCTCTCATGGTGTCCCCTGCCAGACACTTCAGTCCCCAAATATGCCCAGCTTCCCTGCCCACCGGCCATGAGTGCTGCTATGGGCAGCACATGGGGCCCCTGCCAACAGTCACATAGGGGAGAAAGTGACTCTCCCTTTGTCCTCTCCCCAGAACATGGCTCTTTATGCTGATGTCAGTGGGAAACAATTTCCTGTCACCCGGGGCCAGGACGTGGGGCGTTATCAGGTAAGGGATACTTTGGTTGTCATTTTGGGCAAAGGCCACCTGTTCACAGGTGTGACTTGAAGTTCTAGAGGTGGCCTGATCAAGCAGGGTCAGGGTTCTGTCTTGGGTCACTGGTTGTGGTGCTGTGTTAGTACTGACAGGGAGCCCTAATGTGTTCATTGTGCCCACCCTGTGCCAAACACATAACCCAGGTGTCCTGGAGCCTAGACCACAAGAGTGCCCATGCAGGCACCTATGAGGTCAGATTCTTTGACGAGGAGTCCTACAGCCTCCTGAGGAAGGTGAGTATCACCTGGAGCTCCTCCCAAGTCTGCAGGAGGGAGGGCACACCCTGCTTCCACAGCCACCTCCACCCTACTGCCCCCCCTTCCTGGAACTCTGGGTCACTAGGGGCCTTGCTTACAGGGAGCAGTATGGCTGGGTGGGTGCCTTCCTATCTGACTGTCCCACATATGCTTGTACCTTCTGGGTTTCTCCCTTACCCATTTCTCTCTCCTCTTCCATGACTCAAGCCAGTGTTCCTGTCTCTTCTACCCCACCCCACCCAACAGCGCCCCTAACCCCAGCACCTCCCTTACAGGCTCAGAGAAATAACGAGGACATTTCTATCATCCCACCCCTGTTCACAGTCAGCGTAGACCATCGGGTAAGTGGGCTGAAGAGGCTGGCCTGGTCTTGGGAAGCAGCAAGCTTCATCCTTTTCTGGGGGTGGAGGCTGGGCCATAGTTGGCCAGTGTGTCTTTGTGCCCCAAAAGGAGGGTAACCAGGGCTGGCTGGGCCCCTAACCCATTCCTACCCTGAGCTTTCTTTAATTTCCTTTCTTATAGGGCACGTGGAACGGGCCCTGGGTTTCCACCGAGGTGTTGGCCGCAGTTATTGGCCTAGTGATCTACTACCTGGCCTTCAACGCCAAGAGCCACATCCAGGCCTGAGGGCAGTGCCCCCAGCCCTCATTGCTTCTTTCAATAAACAGTTAGACGGCTCTTCACTTGCGTTGCCACACCTTGCCTTCCACACAGGTCAGAGCTGGGCAGCCAGCATCCCCTGGTCCACCCGACAGTGCAGTGCAGTGGTGAGCAGGGTCGGGGCTGAAACTCCTGTCTCATGGGTTTGCTTTGTTCTTTGCTGTCACAGGCTCTCCTTCCTCAGCCCTCAGCTAAACCTTCCCTGCCTGGTGCCCCCAGTGCCCAGTGTCCACCTTCTGTTTCCAGGTTGCCTGCGTGGGTTTGAGTGGGGCATGGAGTTTCCCCTCCGCACATGCTATCTTCTGGCAAAGAGGACTGCCTTGTTCTCTCCTGCCCTCCCCCAGCCCCTCTGGCCTGCCCAGGGTAGGGCCCTGTGACCGCCTACCATTGGGAGGGCAACTGCCCAGCTTGCCCAAATCCAGTAGTTGGCAACATATGTAGACACAGCCCTGCCTGGCTTGCAGAGTGGTTCGGGTGTTTGGAGCCCTGGGCAGGAGCCACGCACTGAAGTACTTTCCATGCTTACATCGTTAGTGCCCATTTTACTGAAGAGGTTGAAGCGAGATATACTTGGTAGCTGTCTGGGGTGTGATCATTCCAAGTCCTGTCCCCTCCATGTTGCCTCCCAATGTGCTCCCACTCTGTGGTGTCAGGTGAGACCCATAGAAGGCACAGAAAGAAGAAATGACCTGGGCCCCAATACCTCTGAGGAGCCCATTGCTAACCTCTTCCAGTTTGGCCTTGCACTTTCTCCTAGTGACCCCACTCTCCTGAGGACCCAATGCTGTCAGATCAACCTTCACCTCTCCTGCCCAGCCAAGTTTCATTGGTGCCACCCATGGATGCAGAGGTGCTAAGAGCCCTGGGTCCAAAGGGGCAAATGGCAAATCCCAGGGGAGTCCTTCCCACATGAGTGTTCCAAGTCAGTTCAGGTCTGATGAGAATGCGTCCTACAGGGTCTCAGTGAGGGATCATTGGGCCCATCTGGCAAAACCTCTGGCACCCTAGTGCTTGATCACCATTGCCTGTTACAGAAAACATCCACATGAATAACACAGAAGCCTCCAGAGAGGCTGCACTCAAAAAGGAAGGTAGGCCCAAAACCTACCTGGGAGGGCAGGGGTTCCTCAGTGCTTGGGCTCTGTCCTTCATATCAGGAGAAAGGGCTGGGAACATGGAGAGCTAATGGCTTGTGACCTGTAACTGCCTGGGGACCTCCTCCAGACTATGGGACACCAGCCTCTCCCTACTTGTCAGGATGGAGGCGACTGGAAGGAATGGGGAGGCTCTTGAAAAGAGCTGGGTCTTTACCCCCAAAAGCAGTACAGCTGAGAATCCCAAGGACCAAGCCAGGCTAGGACTGCTGGCTGCTAGAGTTTCTGGATTCCAGAGAAAGACCAGCAGAGGGAGCTCAAAGGGCGCCTGCTGCAGTGCTCAGTGCTCACTCTCCTAAGGAGCAAAAGGAGACAGGTGCTTGTGTTCTGCACTGCCTGTGCAGAGCAGGCGCCCAGAAGGGCAGGAGGCAAGGCAGGTAGGGTAGGCAGTGGCAGCTGTGTGCAGCCCAGTGGCTCTTTTTTGTATGTTTTTATTTTTTTAGAGAGAGGAGGGGAGATAGAAACGTTGATCAGCTACCTTCTGCATGCCCCGCACTGAGGATCGAGCCCGCAACCCCCTTGAACGGGAATCAGGCTGGGACCTCTCAGTCCATGGGAAGATGTTCAATCCACTGAGCCACACCAACTAGGCCCAGTGGCTCTTTTTAATCCTGGCTCTACCACCCTGGCCAATGGCAATAGGACTTGAATGTGAAATCTCTTCCAGGGTGTCAGTAGCCAAGTAGCCAAGGGCTGCCTCTCCAAGAATCAGAGAGCCAAGCCCTAGCTCTGACTTTCATACGGCCAAGGGACTCCAGGTTCCAGGCTTTTCTTGGCCCACATCCCCCAAGCACTAGGCCTCCAAGCAGGTCCTCACTGGAACAAGAATACAGTACCTCTAGAGCCATGCAAGTGAACCTCCCAGCAGCTGGATAGGGATGCTCAAGGAACAGTTCGATTCTGTACTCAACTCCCCCCTATTTTCTATGGCAGGGGAACCCCATCCTCCTCCATGGGGCCATGTCTCCTCCAGAGAAACAGGCCACAAGAGTCTATATACCTAGTCCTCAGCAATAGGTCTTGGAGGGCTGAGCTGAGAAGGGGGCATCTCCTGCCCCCACCCCTCTGCTCCCATTCACCCCTTTTCACCAACAAGCCCTTTACTCCCTTCCCAATCGATGGTGTTCCAGCCTGCAGTGTGATGCACTGGGCCTTCCCTCCCAGCTGTTCAAGACAGTAGCTGGACAGATGTGGCCATCTTGGGAACCAGCCTTCCCAGTAGGGTACTGGGCTTCTGGGAACATGAACTCAGATTTCTTGCTTATGCCCATCTCAACCAATTAGCAGAATTACTGAGCTCTACATTGTTTTTTCAAGAGAATTTTAATGTGTCTTTGCCCACTTTGGCTGCTGGCAGTGTTCAGTATCTGTTCAAAAGCTCCCTTCATGGCTACACTGCCCACTCAAGGGAGTGCCACACAGAATAGGCCACACTTGGGGCCCTGACCCCCACCCAGCATGTAGCAGATGTCCGCTGGTTTGCTGCACTAAACGAAACCACAAGCATCTGGCTGCATCGCTGGAAGGGCCCTCTGTGGTCACTCAGGTATTAATCCATCTCATGGCCAAGACATTCTACATGCTAGGCACTGGGGTCCCCAAATAGGGAAGGTAGCTTGTGCCTTTGAGAAGCTCCCAACTTGTTGCTGCTGCTAGGGCTCTTCTGGAGCAGGGGGAGGGCGTGGGTAGAACCCACTTCTCTCGGACTCTATCAGTGAAGGAGTGTTGGCCTCATTCAGTCCTGAGCCAGGCCTCTGCCATCCTTTCTGCATCTGGATACCACCCCTGAGGCCATGTCACACCCCTGAAATGATTCAAGTGACCTTGTCATACCTCCTCCCAGGGTACAGAACACCAACATCAGAAGACCTTGCTATTCCTCAGTGACATGGCAAGAAAGCTGAGGCACAGCTTTCAAATGGCCCCAGTTCTCGCCTGCCTTTCACCAGCCCCTCTCCCACCCCAAACTGTCATCTCTTCTCCCAGCCGATTAGAATGAACACAGAGAGTCCCAGAGTCACCATAAAAAGGCAGCTTGCTTTATTGTGATGCTAGTAGGGGGCAGGGATGGGCAGCCTGTCTGCCTCCAATCTGAGGCTCTCTGAGTCCTAGGGGCCCCAGGGATCTCGAGGCCAGCTCTCACTAAATGTACCAGTCCCCGAGGGCTGCCTGGTCCACACCTGCAAAGTAGGCTGCGGGACATTTCCCCAGTTAGCTCAGCTGGCCAGGCATGCCTCTCACTGGGATCCAGGTTGCTCCCTCAACTCCATGTGAGTCTTGTCACAAAGGTCTTGTGCTATTATTCATGGGCCTCAGCTTCTGGACCCCTCAAGTCTAAGCATGACCCTCAGAAGAGAAGCCACACTCCTCATGGAGTCAGGTACAGCCCTGGGCTCAGTTATTTCTTCTTGGATGGATACTGCCCCCTTAGGCCCCCCAGTTTTGGCTCTCCCTCAGTCACAAAGGTAGCCCCCAGGGTGAGCCTCCCAAGCCATGTCTGAGGCTCCTTGTCCCCACACCTCAGAGTGGAGGCCAGCAGGAAAGCTGCTTCCCATTCTTCCCTTCCTTCCCATCCCTTCCCTCCCACCCTCACCCTCCCTCTCTTACTCCCCCCCCACCCACCTCCTTCCCAGCCCTGACTAGGTGGGGGATTCCACCTTTGTCAGGCAACCTGAAGGAGCTGCTAGCCACCAGAGCAGGTGCACAAAACAGAAAAACAATTGGCAAGCACAGAAAGGGAGAAAAACCACAAAAATCTGGGTTGCCTTTGTCTACAGGTAGTGGAGGCTCCCAGCAGGGGGAGAGACTGCTCAGCTCAGAAGCTGGACATTCTCTTGTGCTTAGGACAATCCTCTTCACTTCTTTTCAGCTCCACTTCCCTGTCCCCAAGTACTCACACTGAGAGCTCTGGAGGGGTGTGTAAGAGTGTGTGCACGTGCATGTGCCTGGGCTCATGTTGCACATACACTCGCACACAACTGAAGGGGTGCCCATGCTCCTCAGGGGTTTCTCTCTGGTAAAGTCCTGTGCACAAACACAAAGACAGACAGGTGTGTGCACACCTGTGCACACACACAGACACACACTAGATTCTAAGGGAGAGTAGGGAGTGGGGTTCCTGGAGGCTCACTGGACCTGGGCTGGGGCAGAGGGCCCGCCCTGTAGTGCAGCTGGCTCCCATTTGGGCTGCTCAAACGGTGGTAACTGAGAGAAGAGGGTTGTAGACCCGCTTGCCATCAGCTGAGCGAGTGCCATGGGCCAGCATCTCCTGGATGGTGATCCAGTTGTCTAGAATCTTCTTGTTCCTCTTCTTCATGGTTTTGCGGTGGCTCAAGGCAATAATGTTGAGCTCAGCCTTGCTGTCACCATTCTGCTGTTCCCTCAGGCATTCCAACCGGCTCTGCATCATGAACTCACGCCGCTTCCGCTGCTCCCGGGCACGAATCAGGTGCTGCTTCCGCTCCTCCTTGCTCCAGTAGCGACCCATCTTCATCTCACTCACCGCATCGTCGTCCGTGGTCATGCCACTGCGCTCCTCCCGGATTTTCAGGGCCCGGGCTTTTAGGAGGCGATCACGCACAGGCCGCTTGGCCACGTAGCGGGTTCCATCGCTGCGCACCTTGACCTTCCACTCCATGCGGGGCGCTTCGGTGGCTGCTGCGACTGCTCCGCCCACCCGAGGGCCACCAGCCAAACTCAAGGGGCCATGGCCCAGATCCTCCAGGCAGCGTGACGGGGCCAGCTGCACACAGCTGTGGTAGTACTCACTCTCCTGGCCCTGGCCTCGGTGGCGCCTAGAGAGGTAAGGGCTGCCCTCAGGGCCCACACGCTCCAGGGTCACTCCCATCTTGGGGCTTCTGCGAACACGC